AAAGGAGTCCCATAACAAAGGAGCTCTAGTAAAGTGAAAAAATTTCTCAGCTGAATACACCTTCAAGCCTTCGAAGATCGCATTTACTATCAAGATTTACCAGCCAGAATCGATGACTTCCAAATCGCTGTTTTTCCTAATCGATAGGCGTCTAATTCTTTTTGCGTCTCCTCCAACTCGCCAATACATCGCTTTCACGCTTCGCTAATGAATACGTATTATTCACTGCTGTTGTTGCACAGTAGCTCAGGAAGATGTTAATAACGTGGGCAGACTACCTAAGACGTAAACCACGACTTTACGCAAAAAAGTGTAGATTGTGTAGATTCACCCACCAGGCGCTCCTTTGCCCTCCGCCTAAGGCAATGATCACCATTCTCTGCGCACCTTCCAGCACCACGCCCACCTACTGGAATAACGCCGAATAGAAGAATCCACCAGAAATATTAGATATATTTTAACTCTGAGAGAGAAAGAATCACGGAAGGCAAGCATTGCAAAAACGGATGAATTGGTGAAAGCGGCTAGATACGTATCGATCAGGGGAGTCGGCGCTTCTTCAGCTCTTCGCTAGCGCTTCAGTTAAAACAAATCCGCGATTGCATATTGCGTACAGTGACGTTCAGTTACAAACCTTCTGTATAACTAAGCGATTGTTCAGGGAAGAAAAAGTGGAAGAATCATGGCGAACACCCTAAAGAACCCCTGGCAGCCTCAGTGGACGAACCCCCGCACCTGCTCGTTTTGAGCCACCAAGGCAATATGCTGCCGTCTCTGGCTCACTGATCATTTATTCGCGTCATGCAATGCTAGTACCACCCAACAAAAAAAAAACGAAAAAGACGGTGTGGAATTGAACTTGTGACAAGGAAATAGCCTTTCGAGTGGTGGGCGGACAACTAGAGAGGCGTCAGAACTGCCACTTATGAGGGTCACAGCGCCTTCACTGCTTACTGTTAAGCCGCGAAAGTGGGATAATCTCAGAGGCTAAGGGCCAGACTACTT